ACGGTGTAACCACACCATAGCGTGATTACTCCAACTTGAGTAATACACATCTATGTACGGTCAGACCATCTTGTGCGACCCGTTCTTTCATACAAGGGAACGTGTAGCCCCTTTACACTTCTACCATTAAAATTGTGAATATCCTCAATTCACACTTAGTTGTCGCCTCATACGAGGCTCCCGTGTCTGAGACACGTTCACGTTCTTGAAGAGCAACTTTAAACATCCTTAGCTCAATGAGCTTTGTGTCTACGACACGCAAAACACACGGCCTATCTGGTAGCGAAGGCGCCCGTGGAAAAAGCCCTTCTCCTTCTGCACAGGGCGCATCTCCGGACAGTTCGTCGGCGGCTTCACGGGAAGCACATTCCAAGCCCTCGGCGACCGAGCGCATCACACCGCGCTAGCCCCAGGCGACGAATTTCCTCGTCGAGGATTAGGAGGAAGGCCACAACGCGTCGGGTACTCCTTTTCCAGCATGCGAAGATGAGGGGAATGAAGTGCGCCAACGGCGCGACGTGAGCCCAGTCTGCATCTTGCAGACATCGTGTCCGTTCCCCGACCTCTCGGCTTCCGATGAAAGTGATTTTTTTACCAATCTCCTCGACGAGGCACAGGAGCTGCAATTGGGTACGCTCGTATCCACGTCCGACCTTAGACCCTCGTGTGGAATATTGCTTCCGCTCGGAGGATCCACTACTGAAGCGAAAGACGCGATTACTCGATCGTTAGGCGGCAACGTATCAGGGCCGTCGGCTACTACACAAGCTGAGCTTGATCGACAGAAAGCTCTGCGATATCACTTTCTGGTACCCCAAGAGATCCCAATGGATCGGTACCGCGATCGACTTCGAGCTCAAAGAGGAGGCGCTCCTGTACCCGCAATGCGGACAGTTCCTGTGGTTTCACCCCTGGTAAAACGGCAAAAGATGATGAGGAGATATTTTCGCGATGGGTGTAGCGGCACCAGAAACTTTCCTCGCTGTCTATCTTACAGCTGAACCACAAGGAAGGGGACGTGCGCGTACAACGCCATCTATGATTTGAGTTTGCCAAACTCAAGGCGCCACGCCGACCTCCTTCTTATTGTCACCCTGAGAAACGCGATGTT